GGGCCATTTCGGCACACCCCTCAAGCGTTCCGTGGCCCCATAGGGAGCTCCACCTAAGGTCCCAGTGGCGGAACTCGCATGGCGGCCTCGGGCCATTTCGGCACACCGCTCACGCGTTTCGTGGCCCCATGGGGAGCTCCACCTAAGGTCCCAGTGGCAGAACTCGCATGGCGGCCTCGGGCCATTTCGGCACACCCCTCACGCGGTTCGTGGCCCACAGGGAGCTCCACCTAAGGTCCCAGTGGCAAACGGCGGCCGGGCCATTTCGGCACACCCCTCACGAGGATCGTGGCCCCATGGGGAGCTCCACCTAAGGCCCAGTGGCAGGGTTCGCATGGCGGCCTCGGGCCATTTCGGCACACCCCTCACGAGGATCGTGGCCCCACAGGGAGCTCCACCGGCCCCAAGGATGGCGGCCTCGGGCCATGTCGGCACACCCCTCACGAGGATCGTGGCCGAGCTCCATGGCAGGGTTCGCATGGCGGCCTCGGGCCATGTCGGCACACCCCTCACGATGATCGTAGCCCCATAGGGAGCTCCACCGAAGGCGCCAGTGGCAAGGTTCGCATGGCGGCCTCGGGCCATTACGGCACACCCCTCACGAGGATCGTGGCCCCATAGGGAGCTCCACCGAAGGCGCCAGTGGCAGGGTTCGCATGGCGGCCTCGGGCCATTTCGGCACACCCCTCACGAGGATCGTGGCCCCATAGGGAGCTCCACCGAAGGCCCCCAGTGGCAGGGTTCGCATGGCGGCCTCGGGCCATTTCGGCACACCCCTCACGAGGATCGTGGCCCCATAGGGAGCTCCACCGAAGGCGCCAGTGGCAGGGTTCGCATGGCGGCCTCGGGCCATTTCGGCACACCCCTCACGAGGATCGTGGCCCCATAGGGAGCTCCACCGAAGGCCCCAGTGGCAGGGTTCGCATGGCGGCCTCGGGCCATGTCGGCACACCCCTCACGAGGATCGTGGCCGAGCTCCACCGAAGGCGCCAGTGGCAGGGTTCGCATGGCGGCCTCGGGCCATGTCGGCACACCCCTCACGATGATCGTAGCCCCATAGGGAGCTCCACCGAAGGCGCCAGTGGCAAGGTTCGCATGGCGGCCTCGGGCCATTACGGCACACCCCTGACGAAGATCTTGGCCCCATAGGAGTTCCATCGAAGGCGCCAGTGGCAGGGTTCGCATGGCGGCCTCGGGCCATTTCGGCACCCCCCCTCACGAGGATCGTGGCCCCATAGGGAGCTCCACCGACGGCCCCAGCGGCAGGGTTCGCATAGCGGCTTCGGTTCATTTCGGCACACCCCTCACGAGGATCGTGGCGCCGTAGGAGCCCCACCGAAGGCGCCAGCGGCAGCATCCCTCATGGCTCTCAGAGCCCTCTCCTGCTTCTGCTCCTCGGTCAGGGGGGCGCCGTCCTCGTCGTCGTCGGCGCCCGCGAAGACGGCCGCGAACGTGTCCCTGAGCATGTCGGGCTCCGGCGGGAAGCCGTGGCTACATCGGGAGCGTGGGCGAAGATGGTATTCACACTTGCGGTATTCACAACTGCGTATGGTTTGGTCTTTCGCCAGGCTAATTTCGGCCCCGCCCGGGGTCCTGAAAGCAGCTGGGAGGCGACGCTGGAGGAGAATGTCAGTAGGGAGCTCGCCTGACTCGGCGAGCACCGAATCGTCTGCGCCATGGCGAGTTGCCTTGAGCGTGCAGTGGCCGCAAGTCTGGCGGAGCACGCGGCGGCGAGCAGGACTCGGAATTTTGATTGACCGATTCGGGGGTGCGCTCAACCCACATTTGTTCTGGATACGAGCAGCGAGCAGCACAAGGAGTGAGCAAGGGAGAGTTAGTAACACGCCAAATCTTGGAATTCCCGAACAGACGATGCGCGATGGGATAGTGCGGAGTAGGGGACTCGGACGCCTTCGCTTCAGCATCCAACAAGAACCACTAGTTGTCTGTACGGTGCCACCGTGCTTGCAGTCGTTGGTGCCGACAGCTCTTCTGTCATCAGACAGGGTGGTCAGAAAATCAAGCTTCGTGGCAGGGTCCTTCAGGGCTCGCCGCGCACGGCGAGCGCCCTTGCCGCAAAGCGCCAGGGTGACCTCAGTCTTCCTGCGATCGAGTTTGCACCGGAGGCTGCACCTCTCGATCTCCGCAATGATGAGCTCCAGCAGTTGTCGAGTGGCTGCAACGCAATCGTGAACGACAACATGTATCAGCAAATGCAGAGTATCGTCCACGAAGTCGGCGTCGGCTAATTGTTCAGAGATCCTAGAGATGAGGTCGTGGGCATCTGGCAGAACAGCGTCACGTCGAAGATCCCATGGACACGGGGCGTCACCAACAACATTTTGGAGGATACCTTTGGCAACGCCAGCTCGCCGTACTCGTCGATGACGTCGAAGATCATGGCGCGAACCTTGCACCCCTGCCGAGCTTCTTTGCGCGTGAGCACGACGAGGTCGTGCAGCTGCATCTGCCCTGTGTAAACGGTTGAACCAAGTGCTCTTGTGCAAATGATGGACATGGGAGCGACTGCCTTGGAAACGCCAGTGTCTTCGAGAATATTGGAGTTTGCAGCCATGCACTCGCCAACTCGACCTTGAACTTCTGCCAGGAGTTCGAGTTCAACGAATTTGTTGCGGACGGCAGTGGCATCGAGATGCGACTGTATCATTGCCCAGGCGCGGCGCACGGTGTCGAAGGCTGCTGACAGAGCATCGTATCGATGTATATCCGAGACATTGATGTGCGCTGGTGCCTGGCCACTGGCATGGAGCTCAGCAGCTGGGCCTGCCGTAGAAGTGCTCTGGCCTGCGATCGCGCCGCACCGTGTGCCGGCAACACGGTTTTGCTCGCTGCCCTTGCCTGGATCGAGTCCGGCTTGGCAGAGCCCTCTTCGTCGAAAGCTCCAGTGTGGCTGGCTTCGGTCTGCGGCGGTGCCCCTGGACCTGACCCGGTCTTGGCCTGCGCCCAGCTGCACCTCCTGCGCATGCTCTTCGTCAGTCAGGACCCGGAGTGGGTGGCGCTGCCATGCTCTGCTAACAGCCTGGACGCCCGTCCGGCTCGGCTGGCTACTGGCGGTTCCAGCCTTGCCGGCCCCCCAGTTTTTGGACTCGGGTCCTGCCTCGAGCCTCGGCGGTTGGCACTGTGCCTCCGGCGACTCGGTGGCTGGTTCGCCTGCTATCTTCCGGCTGCTTCTCCTTCGTCCTGCTCCTGCTCGTCTTGCGCTTGCTTTTCGCAGCGAACCCCCTGTGTCTCAGGGCGCCCGCGCGCCCCTTCCCCATCGACAATCGACGGACGGGCCTCCTTCCTCTTTCCTCCTCCGCGGCCGCCCTCGTTTTTTCCACTCGTGGCTCGCGCCCTGCGCCCGCCGCGCCCCGCCGGTACCGACCCTCGCGCCTGCGCTCGCCGGGGCTGCCGGCGAAACCAGTGTCGGCACGGTGCCGTGGCCCCTTCCGTTATGATATGAAAGTAAGATGCCACGGCTGTTGGCGTCGAAGAAGAGAAAGACACCATAAACATAAACTTCTGGCGCTCCGCGCGGATTTCTGGGATCCGCGCTGGGCCCCCCATGGCGGCGCCTCCGGCGCCGCCCCTGGCGTGCTCTTCGCCCCAGGGAGGGGGGTCGGGCGCAGATGAAAGAATTCCGCGCGGAGCGCCAAAAGTTGACGTTCATGGTGTGTTTTCTTCTTCTATGATTGCCTTATCGCCTTTGCGCTTACAGATGTCCTGCGCGCGCCCCCCTGCACCGAGGGGGTGTCGCTCGTGCGCCCAAGGCGAATGGAGCACAGCCTCTGTGCGAGGAGTGCGGCTGGTTCGCCCCCCCCTGCCTTCACGATGCAGGGCTCTATCGCCGTCGGGGCCCGTGGTCTTGGGACCAGGTGCGAGGTTTAGGAAGGACGCTACCTAGGATAGGCCTCCTGGCGGGGCCTTCTTGTCGTGTTCGGGAGGCCTCCCGACGCTCATCTTCAGTCGAAGAAGAAACAACGACTTAAACATAAGCTTTCAGAGCTCCGCGCGGATTTCTTGGGTCCGCGCTGGGCCCCGCGGCGGCGCCTCCGGCGCCGCCCCTGGCGCGCTCCGCGTGCCAGGGAGGGGGGCCCCAGCGCAGATCCAAGAAATCCGCGCGGAGCGCCAAAGTTTTGGTTTATGCCGCTTGCTCTTCCTCTACTGGCGGGGCTGTCTTGTCGTGGTCGGGAGGCCTCCCGACATTCCTCTTCAGAAGCTCGCGGGATGGGAGGACAACTTCAGCAAGGGGATCAGCCTAGTGTTCAGACCACCTGGCGCTGACGGTTCAGACCACTGGCTGACAATGATGGAGGCGTCGCCAGTTCGGAGGACTCCGTGCTTGTCTTTTAGGGTGGGGTGAGGCTTGGCATGGCCAGAGTGCAGTCGCCAAGCATCGGCATTAATGGTGCCATAATCGTGCTTGACAGCAGCGATGTTGGTCTCCTCGACAATGGCTGGTGACCCATGTGTCCACGTCCTGTTCGACCAAGCTGGAAATCAAGGCCCAGTGGCGGCGGAGCAAGAACAGGGTATGGGCTGCGCAGCGTTGCAAACATGGAACATCTTGACACCCTTGGTGAGGTATAGCGTGCGAGGATGCAGCAACGTGTGAGAGACCACACAGCTGCATGAACAACGCCTCTTGGTTGTAGGAGATGGCCTCCTCTCCTCAGCAATGCGCCACTTAGACCATGCGTGGACATGGTCTTGCATGCGAAGGGCACGACGTCGCTGATGCAGAGCAGATCGAAGCGGCGGCGTCCGCATTGCATCCTCTGCTGTGTAACACGAGGTCCAAGGCTTACGAGGATGTGCTGCGTCAGCCGCGATAATGTAGGGCTCACTCCTGGGGGCAATAACGCGATAATGTAGGGCCATACTCATGGGCATGGGGCTCACTCATGGGGGCAATAACGCGATAAAGTAGAGCATTTTGGCGTCAGCCGCGATAATGTAGGTCCTGGGCCTCACTCATGGGGACAATAACGCGATCATGTAGGGCTTTTGGCGATGGATCCCCAGCGAGCGTAACAGCGAGGCGATACCTCCCCACATAAAGTCCTTAAAGACTAGCTGATCGGATTAATGACGATTGCGGTGGCGATGATGATGCTGCTGATGATGATGACGACGGTGACGACGATGATGCTGCTGATGATGATGATGAGGAGGAGGACGACGATGATGACAACGATTATGGTGCTGATGATGATGATGCTGATGATGACGATATGCTGCTGCTGATGATGGTGGTGGTGGTGATGATAATGATGGCGATTAGGACAGTGACCGTGAGTATGTGGTGTTAAAGATCATTAGTTTGCGGATGTTGCTGATGCTAATCATGATGTTGTTGTTGATGTTGATGATGATGATGATGATGATGATGATGATGATGATGATGATGATGATGATGGTGATGGTAATGATGATGGCCACTCTGATGATTGGGCATGATGGTGATGCTGTTGGTGGTGCTGGTGATGGCTATGTGGCTCTTGATGATGATGGTAAGGATCACCGTGATGATGCTGATGATGATGATGACGATGATGATGCTGATGATACTGATAATGATGCTGATGCTGATGGTGATGACGATGACGATGAATATGATGCTGGTAATGATGATGATGGTGACGATGACGATGATCTTGTAGCTCTCTTGGGCCCTCTAGGGCGCCTCTTGGGCCACGTTGGAGTTCTTTCGGGTTGTCTTTGGGGCCTCTTGGGAGTCTCGTGGGCCGTCTTGGGGTGGTCAAGGGGGGCTCGTGGGGACCTCGTGGACGGTTTTCATCGCCGTGAAGGCTAACAAGTTGGATATGCTGAACATGCACGTTTTCCCCAGGGAATTTCAAGATTTGGGTTTCTTGGGGGCTTCTTCGGAGGCCTCTTGGACGCTTCGTGGGGTGTCTTGGCGGCTTATTGGGCCGTTTTGAGCTCATCGTGGGCGTCTTGGAGCGATCTTTCGGCGACTTGGGGTTCTCGTGGACCGTCTTGGCTGCTTCTTGGGAGGGGTCAAGTGCTGTCGTGACGATGATGTTGTTGATGCTGATGACGATGCTTATGACGACGACGATGCTGATGGTGATGATGATTGTGATGATCGCGTTGTTGATGGCGGTGCTGTTGTTACCGATTATGGCGGGTGGTGAGTGTGATGATGATGGCTGTGATGATAATGGCGGTATTTGATTATGGCGGTGATGGTGCTGGTGCTGATGATGATGATGATGGTGATGGTGGTGATGATGATGCGGATGCTGATGCTGACCATGGTGGTGGTGGTGGGGATGATGATGATGCTGCTGATGATGCTGCTGATGATGATGCTAATGATGATGATGATGATGATGATGATGATGATCATGCTGACGCTGATGATGATGCTGAGCATGCACCTGATGATGACACTGACGATGCTGATGTTGATGATGCTGCTGATTATGCTGATGGTGTTGATGATGATGCTGATCATGCTCAGGATGATGCTACTGCTGCTGCTGATGATGACGCTGACGGTGCTGATGATGCTGATGATGACGGCGACGACGATGATGGTGTTGATGATGCTGCCGATGATGATGCTGCTGCTGATGCTGATGCTGACGATGCTGATGCTGATGATGATGCTGATGCTGCTGCTGCTGATGATGCTGATGATGATGATGATGATGATGATGATGATGATGATGATGATGATGATGATGATGATGATGATGATGATGGTGATGATGCTGATGCTGCATATGGTAATGTGGAAAATGCGGATGCTATTGTTATTGTTGCTGTTGATGATGAGGATGATGCTGATGATGATGCTTATGATGCTGACGATGTTGATGCTGATGCTGGTGATGATGACGATGATGGGGGGAGGAGGAGGAGGAGGAGGAGGATGCAACAAGTAGGGGATGTCTCCCCTCCTCCCCCTCCTCACCTCCTCCTCCTCCTCCTCCTCCTCCTCCTCCTCCTCCTCCTCCTCCTCCTCCTCCTTCCTCTCAGAGCAGGAGGCTGGCGGGCGCAGGCGGAACCTCAGGATGCCGTCGCTCCTCGAGATGAGCCTGGAGAGGAACTACTCCTCAAAGGCCGCTCGGGAGGGGAGGATCAAGGTCAGCCCCTTTATCCCTCCTTCCTCCTCCCTTCTCGCTCCTTCCTCCCTTCTCTCTCTCGCTCTCTCTCTTTTTTTCTCTCTTACGGAGACGACAGAAAGCGCCAGCGAGGGGGGTCCAGCGCTGATCCAAGAAATCTGCGTGGACCTCCGATAGTTCATGGTTATGCAGTTTTTGGTTCCTCTACTCCGTCCTCCTCTTCGTCCATCCTCATATCCCTCTTCTCCTCCCCTGGCACAGTTGACGCGGATGGGGGCCCGACCGATCGATTGATACGACCGACGCTCCTCCTCCTCCTCCTCCTCCTCCTCCTCCTCCTCCTCCTTCCCCCCCTTGTTGTTCACCTTTCGCACCAGTGCCTATGTGACCCCCTCTACAACATCCTGCGGTGTGTTCGCGTCGTGTCGAAGCGGCGGCGACCCTTGCGCGGGCCTTCAAGATTGAATGCCGCCACTGGACTGGAATGGGCCGACATCGAACGATTTGCGCTAGCGTTGTAAGAAACCAACGCGCAAGCTGTCACGATACTAACCTGCCGAGGTAGGGAGGGGGGAGATTCTAGTGCCACCGCATCTTGATTGTAGTTCGCTTGCGCACTGCTGCCACCCGCGGCTCGAGATGACTGAAGAGCCCCACTGGCAGCGCTAGCTGTTCTTACACCTTGAGACTGCCATGGCAAATCAACAAGGGAGGAGGAGGAAGAGGAGGAGTAGGAGGATGATGAGGAGGATGAGGAAGAGGAGCAGTGAAGAGACAAGGACCAGAAAAGGCTTATGGGGCGTGATGTGGGGGTCCTCATCTTCGCCCTCATCGCTCCTCTTCCCCCTTTTCGGCATTCCTCTTCTGCCACACTCCTGCTCCCCCCGCTTCCCGCTGGGGCGGAAATGCGGGCAGTCATTCGTATATCTGGCTGTGGTTGGCCACGCTGCGCGCTGGCTGTTTTTTCCTCGGTGCTCTCTTCTCGGATCGTCTTTCTTCCCTTGCCTGCCCTTCCATTGCTGGCCAGTGTCTTTCCTCCTCCTTCTCCTCCTCCTCCTTCTCCTCCTCCTCCTTCTCCTCTCCGCCCCTCGTCTTCCTCGCTGCTTCTCGGGATCCTCCAGGAGAGGGTCTTCTCCCTGAGGGACTCTTGCCCTTCCTCGCTTCTTGTTCTTCTTCTATTCTCTTTTGTACGCTTCTCATCCTCCGTCATATTCTTCCTCCCCTCTTTCTTTCCCCAGTAATAGTATGACTTACTACTCTTCTTCCTCTTCTCCTTCTCCTTCTCCGTCTCCTTCTCCTTCTCCTCCTCCTCCTCCTCCTCCTCCTTCTTCTTCTTCTTCTCCTCCTCCTCCTCCTTCTTCTTTTTCCTCCTCGCCTCGGCCCCTCGGGCTCCTCATGTGGCGGCCGTTCTTCGCTCGGGCCTCGTCTGCCCCGGTCCACCGCTGGATCGTGGCGAGGCCCTCCCTCCAGCAGGGCCCTTGCCCGCGGCCTCCGCTCGGACGGACCCTGCGCGCCTCGACCCATGTCCTTCTCCCCGTCGTGCTGCTCCTCCTCCTCCTCCTCCTCCTCGCCCTCCTCCTCCTCCTCCTCGCCCTCCTCCTCCTCCTCCTCCTCCTCCTCCTCCTCCTCCCCCTCTCCTCCTCCTCCTCCTCCTCCTCCTCCTCCTCCTCCTCCTCCTCCTCCTCCTCCTCCGACCGACCGAGCTGCCCAGCTGCGGAACGCGTGGGCTCCGCAGCTCGACGCAGCTCTGCGAGGGGGCCCCGCGGATGGCCACGCCGCGAGCTGCCCGGCCGCGCTGCCAGGCCGCGGAGCCCCTCCGCCGCCGGAGCCGGAGCCTCGCGGCCTGCCGGCCACCCGCACGCGGGGGCCGCCGCATGGCACGCCTCCTGTTGGGTCAGGATGCGTTCGGCTGGCAGGGCGGGGCGGTGGCCCCATGGCGGGCGATGCGAGAATACAGTCGGGGCCCTGAAGAAGGAACCCTTTTCGTTGGGGAGGGGCTCGGTGTTCCTTGAGTGTTTCACAGCTTGCCTCAGGCTTTCCGTATGTCTTCGATAGGAAATCGAAGCTTAACTTATGGGAAAAAGGGGCCTCGTTCCTTATTTAGGGTTCCTTATGTCAGCGCCCCGACGGTAGTCGTGTACGGGCTGTTCGGCGCTCGCAACTCGTAGAGCAAATCGGGAGGCTGCCATCTCCTGGCCCCTGCGGTGCCAGGCCGGGGACCCTGGGCGATCGGGGGTGGTCGCGGGACTGAGGCCGCGCCAGGCACGTCGGTATCGGTCGGGCATTGTTGGCCTCCGCCCGCGTCGATGTGCTCTGCTCCTGCTCGTGTCTGATATCAATGGCCATGTGGCCCTTGTGGGACATTGGCATGCAGCGCTCTCGACTCCTCTTTCGGCCATGGCCCGCTGCAAAAGTTTGAAGAGTGCAGGTCTGCTTGTGAGGGGTTCCCGTTTGCCTGGTGACCTTTGGTTCGCAGTGGGTGGAGTAGCGGACGTGTGGACTGGTTGCCATCGGCGATACACGTGCCTCGTGCTGCCGTAGTGCGGGTAGTGGGCCTGGCCTTCCTTTACATGAATGTCCCCAGCTGCCCATCGTTGGCAGTGCGGGCCAATGCCGCCGTTCCTCCGCCCCCTCCTCCTCCTCCTCCTCATCCTCCTCCTCCTTCGCCTCTTTTGTCTTCCTTCTCCTCCCCCCCTCCTCCCTCCTGCCTCCCCTTCCCTCCTTCCTTCTCCCTCCTCTTTCCTCCGCCCTTCTTTTTCTTCCTTCCTCGATCCTCCACCCTTCCTCCTCCTCCTCCTCCTCCTCCTTCTCCTCCTCCATGCCCTCTTCCACTTCTTCCTTCTCGTCCTGCTGACTCTGCTGCTGCCCTTTCCTCCTGCTGCTGCTGCTGCTTCAGCGACTCCTCCTTCCTCCCTCTTCCTCTTGCAGCCCCGCCGATCTGTAAGACACCTCCCCTCTTCGCCTTCCCCCGGCGTTTCTGGCAGCTTCCGCTTGCCTGGCCCAGTTCCTTGGCCCCGTGCTGGTGCACGGGGCTGCACGCACGAAGGTTGCCAAGGCTTTCGCGCAAGATTGGGCCAGAAGCTTGGCCCGGGCTTCCTCGGCCGACTGCCTCTTGATCTCCTGGCGACTTGCTGACTCGCACTGCGGCTCTGTTTGAGGATCTGTTGTCGCGCTCCAGCTGCCCGCGTGAGGCCGCCGCGCGAGCGCCCTCTTTGGTCCGCGCGGTGTGCCTTGTGGGCGGGCCGCGTCAGCAGCCGCGTCAAGCCGCCAGGTCCTGTCGCGTGAGACCCCCTTGGGTGGAGGAGGATGAGGATGATGAGGATGAGGAGGAGGAGGAGGAGGAGGAGGAGGAGGAGGAGGAGGAGGAG